ATTTCTCTGTTTCACCGACTCACAATTCCCACTCATCTTTGGTTCCACTTTCATATTCTTTGAAGCTTAGATAAAACACATTCCTTCCGCCTGTATATGTCCAAGGAGGCACTCAGCACCTCCACAGAGAAAGAGAATTTAGACAAACAAAGGAAGGTGCTGGTTTGAATATGGCTTCCAAACTTCATGCGTTAGAAGCTTATTTCTCAGTCAATACTGCTAGGAAATGGGGCCCAGCAAGAGGTGACCGGATCTCCGCTCATGAGTCATTTAGCGCTGTTACCACAAGCCTGGCTTAGTTATCATGAGGACAGATCTGTTGTGCAAATGGACCCATCCCTCCTTGTGCTGTCCTGCTGTCAGGTGCCCCCACGTGATACTCTCCATTTGGTTACAATGCAGCGAGAAGACCTTTGCCAGGTGCAGGCCCTGTTTGCCTGGGACATCCCAACCTCCAGACTGATAGGAAATGCATTTCTGTTTCTTGCAAATTGCCCAGTCTGTGATATTCTGTGGTGGTAACATAAAATGGGCTGGGAGAGAGATAAAGCTCACAGGTTAAAGATGTACAACTGAGGTCTTAAAGAAGCTTGCCTTCAGACTAACAGAAAGGAATCTCTACACTTTTTACAAGCACAAGTCGCTAATTACTCCAAGGTGATGAAGCCAAAAACTAGAGGTCAAGATGTCTTTAGACTGACGGAGGGCTGTCTGCAAACGGAACTTGGGCACTTAAGAGCAAGCCTCCCCTGTACTATCAAAACCACTGCAAAAGGCAGGTTCATGCCCTGCCAAATGTGCCCTCACTGGAACGGGGTACTTGGCCAGCTGGTTCATGAGTCTATTTCAGCACAGTAATTATAGAAACAAGATTTGGGTTGGCAATGGGAAACACTAGTTCTCCCATTTCAAATATGAGTCATATTAAAGTAACTTTTTATTAGCATCCCCTAGAAAATTACAGCATACCTTTGTACGCTATTAACTGAAAATATACAAGTCTCTAACATAATTCCTAACATACCAGAGACTAACACTGTGGGCCAACAGGTAAAGTGTCTACACAGAGTTTACTGCCAAGATTTGAAAGACTTATGTTTTAATGGGATCTTATTTGAAATAATGAAATTAATGTTGTGCACTTAAAACCCAAATCTGAAATGACTGAAAAATAGGACTCTTATTAGAGTGGGGTCTAAATATCCTCTAGGCTCCTGGATTTCACCGGTTTCCAAGAGAAGAAAAATACATAATGAGATGACGCTACATTATTGCTGCATGATTATTGCACCAAACTTCCATTAGGATCTACTGTTTGAAAAAGAAGAGAAAGAAAAGAGAAAGAGAACAGCTTGCCAGAGCCCCGTTTCATACATTCTGACACATATTTTTGACACAACTCCTGAGCATGGGGTGTGTTGGCTTTACTTCACCTTGTTCCAGAAGCAAATTAAAGCAACTTACAAAATCACATAAATTAAGACTCCAAGTAAAATAAGCAAGAAATAAGGGTGGAGATGAAAAATAAAGCCAAGAATGATGTCACAAATGCACATCACAAAGACCTAATATTAGTGGGAGGTGCATTTAGCCCTGGTTTTCTAGTAATCAACAGAGGAAGATCAACCTAGTTACAATGTCACAAAAAAGTACAATTGCTCAGAAAAAAAAAAAAAAAAAGATAACTTTTTTTCACACAAAGAACAGCCAGGCTTTTTCTAGTATTTTTGTGAAGAAAATATTAAATGATTTAATACACCATGCCAAACAGTGCTCTCACTATGCATAAGCATTTCATGGCTGGCTTAGAGTGGACTTCACTGTAGATATTGTATAAGAAGTACTGTACTGTGGGGGTGGGGATTTAGCTCAGCGGCAAAGCGCCTGCCTGGCAAGCACAAGGTCGTGAGTTCGGTTCTTGGTACCGGAGAAAAACAAACAAAGAAACAAAACAACAACAACAAAAAGAAGTACTGTACTGCAGCAAGATCAAATAGATAATTTTAAGGGTCTGAGCATATTAACATTCACTGTTCATGGATGCTGGCCTGAGATGCTAGACTCCTGGGTTAGAGATAAAGGACCATTTAGTACTGTGGTCAGTGGCCTGAATATTTGCCTCCCTACCAAATACCCCACCTCCTACAGGGCAACACGGAGAGTTACAGGTGATACTTGCATATGCCACGGATTGTACTAGAGGAAAAGGACACCAAGCTTAGAAAACTTGAATCTCTTATGATGGGAAGTGGTCACATATAATCTTAGCCGCAGAAAGAGACATTAGCTTTGTTATGTGGGTTAGCAAATAAAGTTCTATTTTCCAAGGTTATTTGCATCAAATGTTCTTGAAAATATCCTCTGCAACCTAGGGAACCGGTGCCTCTGCCCATAAGATGGTGCAGAAACACTAGGGACCCTTGGAGGGTAGTATGCCAACAACTACAGTCCAGGTCACGCTCGAGCTTATTTTGGGATTGAGCTAAGACTAACTTTCAGATTGCAGGAACTGATGGGCTGTGTCTCCTTTGCTACGCACTTCTCCTATACTTCTTGCCTCCTTATCCTCTAGACGACGGTAGTGGTAAGCAAATGAGGCATAGTCCCGATCTCTACAAAGGGTTACAGAAACATACAAATATATTTTAGGTGCTTCTCAAGCAGCTCTCTAAATGTTCTTTCAAGGTTTCCACAAGTGCTGGTGACAAGTAATTCAGCAGCCTGAATCCCACTAGTGTGTGGAGCTTAGCATTCCCAAATAAATGAGACACTGAGCCTGCGGAGATGTTTCAGCAGAGCTAGGGATGGCTTTCTCTAGTGAAACTGAGACACTGAACAGGGGGCATGAATTATTCTGCAGTCATCATCTCCACTATACCCCTGCTCAGAGGTCAGTTTGTTCTTGAGAATACTGTAAAATCCTCCAATGAGTATATGAACAAAGCCTTGAAGATTTACTCCATGTAAGAAGGCGTTTACTCCTTGCAGTGCTCTTCTGGACTTCCTGTACATTGAGCTCTCTGAGATGATCTCTTTCTTCAAGCCTTTACTTCCCCATGGCGTGAGGAGAGTTTAACACTATCATGGTCTCCATGGAACGCCCATTTGCCCTACCAGATAAGGTGATGCAACTGTCTTCTCCTGACAATACAATCAAGGATTTGCCTCTTTACTTAGCTTCCGTTTGGTTCCAAGCTACAAATAACAACTGTTAATGTGGCTTCGATTCCGTCTACCGGCCATGTGGACGCTGGTTCCTGAATTCCAGTACCTAACTCCCACAGCAGCCTTTCACCGTGTTGAAGAACTTGCCTTCCTTTCTATGATTCTGCTGGATTTGTTCCCTCAGAAAACCTGCTGTTTCCTAACGCTGTGGCCTCACTGGCTTAACTTGATGGTAATGGCATCTAGAAGCAGAACCCGCAGGGCTGGCTGGAGGACTGTTCGAGCTCGGGTCTGAGGGAGCTGCCTATTCAAGTAGAAAATCAGGAATGAAAAAGACCTGTTAAATAACCCAGTCCCTTCCACAGTGGGTGCCAGAGCATTCCTATGGTGAGAGCCGAGTCCCGGCCAGCTCTGAATGACTTTAACAATGTGCCTCCTCACACTTTATTTGGAAGGCAGGTTGTCTCTTCAGTTTTTTTCTTCTGGTAAATTTTCTACCTAGAATTTTATTTGACCCGTGTTATTCCATTTCTCTCTTACTGGTTTTCCTTCAGCCATAGCAACCCTGTGAAATGAGCTATTTTCAGGGTACAAACCACATTTAGAGCACTTTATTGACCAGTCATTCCAGCAGGAGGCCTGTATGTGGGGCAGTGTGGCACAGGGAGGGACACGCGCGTGACTGAGAGGTGTAAACACACCAGGTTAGGGTCTTATTTCAGGTCATGGCGGGCTTTGCTATTCTCATTTACTTTTGTTTTCAGTGACTGCCACTTAGTAAATTTTTCCTGTGTGCCAGAGGAAATACTTTCTGAAACTTCTGCTAACAAATTTATGAAATTGGCACTGTCATCTCTATTTAAAAATTTAAAGTTTAGTATTGAAGAGTAGACATTCTGGGTTTAAACAGCCAGTTAAAACGCCAGCTCCGTTGCGCGGTAGCACTGTGACCTTGAGCATTTGATTTTACTTCTCTGTGCTCGCGTTCTGTCCTTGTCACACGGACTGAGGACTGTGTCTTTCTCATTTGTCATCCTGAGAAACGAATACCTTACTACGTGTAAACTGGAAAGACCCACATCTGACACAGAGCAGGCACTAAAGTGAAATTGATAATATATTGAAGGGCACCTTGTTCAAGGGCACCTTGCTAGGAAATAAAACAAAAATTTAAAGCTCAGTTTATTCTATTTCAAACCTGTCTAAGTTGTTAGTCATTAGACTATACTAGGTTGGTCAGCACACTTAACATCTCTGAGCCTCAACATGCCTCACTGGTAAAATGGGGATAACACCATAGCTCCTGCACCACCACCACATCAAATGCTGTCACAGAGCCCAGCCCAGACCGGGGCTCAAATGACAAGAGGGCTCTCTCTGTCCGTACATCCGTATCTACAAAATATGTGTGTGCACATACCTTCCATGCAAGCCTAGGACTTGCTCTTAAATGATTCTCCTAACATTGGAGCTGCAGCATAGTTCAAAGTATTTTTTTTGAGTTTACTCCCATTTACAAGAACTGGATTGATTTATTAGATAATTTAAAAGTTTCCTTCCTGCTAAGATTTCATTTTATGCTCCTAATGGTCTGATGGTTTTCAGTATGCACTTTCCAGTTCCTTTAAAACAGCTCATCAAATGTTTCAAAATTGCCTACTTTTTCTTTCATAATATAGATTGGCCAGTAATTTCAGTCCTTATATAACAGAAGAGAGTAAAGAGTTACAGCTTCACAGAGGGAAACGTGATGATATGCTTTTGCTGTGTGTGTGCGTGCGTGTGTGTGAAAGGGTGTGATGTCATCTTGTCTCCACCCCCTGTGAGCAAGCCCACGGCACAGCGAAATGCAGCGCCCGCCTCTGCCCCTGGAAGACAGTCCACTTAAATGCGGCTCCAGGGCTGCGAGGCACCCACCAGCATCACTCCCCGTGGGAGGTAGCAAATGCAACATGCCCTCCAGCTTGGGGTGTCTACTTCTCTGTGGAAGTATTGCACTTGCCCTGGGAAATGCACAGAAATTGCCAAAAGGCAAGTAGCCCTGATGTTTATGCTTTAAAACTAATTTTAAGAGATACTTGTTTTTAACTGTTGATATTGAGTATAATCTGTTTAACCATGTGGGGGAATAGGATTAATCTGTGGAAAGTCAAAGCTCCACTGTGCGAAGGGACTGCTTAACCTTTTACCCCCACCCTGTTACTTACTTTTACATTTCAGCTCTTTACTGCAAAAATGACAACCAACTTCTTACTATGTTCATAGGAACTTGCTAATAGCATAGTGTAAATGGTCACTGTTGTTTGTTGAGAGCTATTTGATACTTTATCTCCCACCTCAAAGGCTAAACCAGTACTAGGGCTGCTGAAGGGTTAAAGGAAGCTAATTCTAAATCCTGGAATCCTGGACAAAAACCTCAAGCATACCTGTTGAGTGGGAGGCTGAGCTGAGCCAGGTCACACCGAGGTTTGGTCTGTCGGTCGGAGCTAAGTAGCAGATGCTGTGGAGTTCCAAAGAGTTTTCATCTTCTGAGAGGACACTCCCCCTTCAACTGGCTAAATTGCTCTTATTTTAGTACTGGTATTTTGCTTATAAATATCATTAGAAGAAAACGAAAATTTCCAAATGTAGACCCCAAAACAACCTCCTTCAGACCATCAGCACTAAAAGAGGCTCTTGCTTTTCTTCTGTCTTTAAATGTAAATGTGACAAGTACTTGTGTTTCTTTGCAGAGATACTTTTCTAAGCCAACTCTAGGGCTGCGAAGGTTTTTTATGGCTGCAGACTGCTGTAGTCATCAGGATTATGAAAAACAGGCTGGAATTTACCATACAGTTATGATGGAAAATATGGGAGGTAATATAGAGGCACAAGCTCGTCAAAAACCTAGTATGTATTGAGTCAGAAAGAAAAGTTGCTAGTGTCTGAGCAGTGGAAAGGTCACTGGTAGCTCCTCTCTCCGGATAGTTCACTTCAGGATCATCTTGTCTCAAGTGAAAACTGTTTTCTCACTGGGTAAAGTGAAACTTAGATCCAAAATGGGAGAGCTGAAGCATTTGGCTAGATGACATCTCACATGATGATGTGAAAGCAATAAAAAAGGCTAAGTAAACTTTCTCGACTTTGCTCAAATAATCATGCAGAGAAAAAGAGAAACAAACACTATTGCATTTTTTCCTTCTACCAAGAATTTCCTTGATTATACTAAAGTGATTTAAACAAATCGTGGGCCACAGGCATTCACAATGAACTGCTCATGTTGATGAAATATTTAACCACAGTGTACTATTTGTGAGACGTCTGGGGCTTTGCTCAGTCTCAGTACTTGTAGATGATTTTATTTTATTTGTATTCACTGTTTATGGGACAATAGCCAAAATTTGGTTAGCGCAAACTTCTGCAATTCCAAGTGATTTAATTATCGTGCTGCAATCACTGAAAGCAGATGTCTCAGTACAATTTGCCTTTTTTGTAACGGTAAAGAAAAAACAAACCATGTAGCTGTCAAAAATGGCCACAGATTGTGTCTATTTCATTGCGCTTTAATCTAAAGTGTTTCATCTCTGCTTCTTTTATAGATTTAAAAATTATCTGTGGTTCTGGTACTTTGAAAAGACCCGTCAAATTATAGTAGCTACATAATTAAATGACAAGATCCTTTGTGTCTAATGGTACATTTTCTCTTTACTGTGGAAGATAGCGAGGAACTTTCTTTTAGTTTAAGTCACCTTCCTCAAACCGCGTTCCGGGAATTAGGTGCACTATACTACGGTGGTACTTGGACAGAGGTGATAAACAACTGCTTTCGTCGATAATTCGGGGGACGTTTGATCGCTTTGCTTTGGGAGCAGATTCACAGTAGATTTTAGCATTTTACAGGTTCGGAATAGTGCTCAGTGATCAAAACTGCTCAGTCTGTTCTTCAGACTCAATGAGAATCTCCCTATTATAACTGGAAAAGTTATAACATCGTACCAGGGATCTGTGTGTCACAGGCAGATTTGAAGAAATACTGGGCTACAAAAAGAAGGAGAGGGATGAAAGGCTTGTCTTTTTTTCTGCCTTCCAGCTTTAAAGTTAAATACTATCTGCAATTTCAAAAGTGGGTAGAATTTTGATCACCTGGTTGAGAGGTTCCAAGAAATTTGGATGTAGATTAATAAGAGTACACACATATTTAAATATAAGGATTCCACTGTAGGGATCATACCTGAATTTTGTCGCGGGAGAATGCTCAAAGTGTGGGGGAAACCTCATGGTTCATAAAAGCAAGCCATTTTAACTGATTTGTGAAATAAATGAGTGAAACTACACGAAGAAGTTCTTCGTCCTTTTTCTTATTTTGTCACAGATGGATAAAAACTCCGTCACATGCCAATATTTGGAAACCACTGGCTTAGCTTAAATATTTATTTATAACTGAAGACACCCAAGGGAAGGGGAAGTTTACTAATTTTCCGCTGTTCATGGCACAGCTTGGTCTGAATACTAGGCTTTGGATTTAAAATCTGTGCTCCATCCTGTTTTCTATTTGGTAAGCAGGCTCGCCTGACCCAAACCTCAGAAATCACATTCTGCAGTGTAGGTGAGAACGCTATCCTTCCTTTGAATAAAGTTGTTTATCCTAAGTTTCTAATGACCACCTTAATTTTTATATTTTCTTTTTTAAAAAAATTTTTATATTTTCCTAAGAAAATGCCCACATCTTATATACTTAAATTTAATTATTTATAATAAATCACTTGTTACATGCCATATGCCTATTTGCATACCTTGCCACATGCCTTATACAAAATAAATTGCAAGATTCTTATTTCTTAAAAGCTTAAAAGAGACTGTTGTTAATGTTACTTTTCTCCTATTCACTGCTTAAAATTTTTTTTTTTTTTTGTCTTTTTGAGACAGGGTCTCATTACGCAGTTCAGGCTGGCCTTGAACTCACTTTGTAGTCCAGGCTGGCCTCAAACTCACAGTGATCCTCCTGCCTCAGCCTCCTGAGTGCTGGGATTACAGGAGTGCACCAACATGTCCAGTTCCTCTTCACCTCTTAGTAACTATGTTCTTTGGAAAATTATTTACCTTAGCTAAGCCTAGCTTTCTCATCTACAAAACAGACAAAATGATACCTATCTTAGAGTAATATATTTTAGAATTAAATGAAATAAGAGATACAAAGCTTTTAGTAAAGTGTCTGACACATTCAATTAATATTTATTGGGTCAGAGAAAAGCGACTCAATGTTGAAAATTATGCACACCAAATAATATGTGATATTTTATCCAAACTGTAAAACAAATCCCTTGCGAGACAGCACAGAAGGCGGCGTGTTCTTGGAGGAAAGGTGGGATGAGATTGTTGAGTGTGTTCTGTATGACAATGAGAGTGGACAGCTATGTGTTCCATCCTGACCCCCAGCTGCCCACGCGGGCGAACTTAACTTTTGCCTTAGGATCGCTTTTTCTGTGAGGATTTGCAAGGCTCTGGCTCTTGTAGGTGAGACCCATTTGAACTTGTCTTTCAGGAGGAAAACTAGACCCAAAGATGCAGTCCCCGCAGGAAAACTGCATCGTTTTAAACCTCGGGAAGCCCGGGGCTCCAGATACCTTGAGGAACCTTTATTCTTGGCACCTCAGAATTTTCTTCTCCCCTGGCGCACATGCTAAAATAAACGCCACAGAACAGTGTGGAGCAAAGGGAGACAACAATTTAAACACCAGGGACTTTTCATACCTCTGTGCTGAGGTTTTTATGCCTGGATGATCGTAATGCGCCTGAAAGCGAAGGACACTCATGCTAGGCGAGTCTCTCACCTCCCAAGCACGCGTGAGGAAACCCACAGAGGAGCCTGCGAGACGCCAGCATAGTTGTAGGCCTGAAGGCACGGAGCTCTTCCCTGTGGTTCTTGGCGTAGGGCCGAGGGAATGGGAGACTGGCATTTTGCCTAGGATTTTTTTTTTTTTTTCCGGTACCAGGAATTGAACTCATGACCTTGCGCTTGCCAGGCAGGCGCTGTGCCGCTGAGCTAAATCCCCAGCCCCTTTGCCTAGGATTTTTATCTAAAAGACCAGAAATCCCTGACATCAGGGACAAAAACAAAACAAAACAAAACAACACAGGGACAAACAATATAGTAGTAACCATCATGGCTGCCAATGACCCCCATTACTGCTGTCATAGACAGTGTTCTCCGGTGTATATTATGTTATTTAGTGCTACCTATTTTTCATGTGGAAAATTAATTAAATTCTCAAAGCACCTGTATAAAGCAGTTGTCCTAGTTCTCCGATTTTATACTGATAGGTCTGACCCCCCGTCTGCCCCACCTGCCCCAAGACGCTGGAGTTCCTAGAATGGCTGGCTTGCGTGTGCCTGAGCCAGGGAACAATGTCTGCTCTGCTAGGACCGGACACACCTGCCCTGCTGGGAGGTCACAGCGCTGACTGTTAGAGCCACCTACTGAGCCGCTCTTGCTCCTCCAGCCTCATGACCCCTTCACACCATCTCACCTAAGCCTATCCCGCTAACCCCTCCCCTGTCCATAAACCACCCAGCTCATAAACTGGACAAGGGCTCTCCTTTGGACTTAACCCAGGGGAACCCACCTGGAGCCCCAATTTCAGGCTGGCTATCTTCTTTTACAAAGTCATCACTGTTTACCTGATATATATGACATTCCACTGTAATTCCAGGTGGTTAGGTAATCTGCCCCAAGTCACATGACCAGGATAGCAAAACTCCCTAACTTTGATATAATATCAGGAACCTGCTCTTTGTAAAGATGTATTGATTTATTTAACACATCAGTGGGCCACTTTGATTACCCAGACCTTTTCTCCAAGGGTAGCTATTGTTCAGTGAGGGACTGAGGAATATCTTTTGCATTTTAAGGCAAGGAAATTGAGACAATAATAGTGGAAGATGCAAAGTCTGTCGATGGAGTTGCCATTTTATTAGAATAACATACACTTATGTATTGCTAGTACTGCATTAAAGAGTACATTAGAAGAAATGGCTTCACTGCTTAAAAATTC